GAACCAACTGGACGCAAGTGCATCGTCATCTATGCTTGACGCAATAGCATAAAACATGAATGACTTGTCGCACCCAATACTAACATGTGACATATTGGACATTTTGACCTAAAGGAATATAATTGATAATCTGGTGTAAAAATGGCCCCAATGATTACAAATTCAAGCAAAAATGGCCTCATTGAGGTACTTGGTAGGTAAACAGCTCCATCTTCATGCCACGATCAGGCTTGCATTCTCATCAAGTTAATTTATCCCGCCCTTCTCAACCTGTTCCTTTTGTGTGATAAAATCCTATTCATTCATTTGATTCTCATATACCAATATATATGTGTACGATGCTCAAGCTCGCCAATCCCACATCCTTATTACAGAGAAAGAATGTAATAAATAAGAATTCTCGAGAAGTTCTATAAAAAGGGATGGGGATCAATGAGAAACAGATTTGTTTTTTATATAAAAGTCATCGAGTAAGAGTTTAATAGAATAAACAAGATCATAAATACTAAGCTTTTAAGGCGGGACGAAAAAGAATCAATCAATCTAGAAGAAATCCAGTTCGCAGCTCAAATAGGTTCTAGCCATCCTCGAAAAGTAAAATATACCTAGCAAATCTAAAAAGTTTTTAACATTAGTGTAACTCCGATATGGGTCCTATTGCTGATTATATTCATTCGGCCAATACGCAAAATTTTATTTTAAAGTTTGGTATGTATCAACATACAAGACATTGATTTATAAAGAATGCCCAGAATTATCAAATAGAACGATATCTTGTAGCACGTATTACGAATTTTCACGTTCACATTTCAGAATATGTATCTCATAGCCAATGGCTTACTGAAAAATCCGATTCGGCCCAAGGAGATGTGAAGCGTACAAAGGCGGATAGACTGCCAGGTCCAATGACTAGAAGGTGACCAGCGATCAGTACCAGCCAGTGCAAGTCCTCAAGAATACGAATAGGAAAGTCAGGTCGTGTAGAGGGAGCTGAATCAAAGGGAACTTTCGCGGAGACCATAGACGCAGCTGCAGCAAGACGACAACTGCGATCATATAACAGCTGGGTAAGCAGGTCGACAGCCAAGTCAGGGCGAGTAAGCCCACAAATGCCAGATACATAAAGGCTGTCCTAACCAATAAATGTCAAAAATAAATGGATAGCGTAAAGAAAAGCCTAAATTAAAGTAAGGAAGATTTGATTAATTTTAAAGGCAACAGGAAAATAAGCAAAAATAGCCGACACAAGCAGAACCAGAAAGAGATAAAAAAGGTGGAAAAATCTTAAATTAAGACTAAATTGGCAAATAATAAGATATTAAAGGTAAAGGCATTGCGGCAAAATAGCGAGAAGTTTCATTAAAATAGGTTGTATGCCTAGCTATTAGTGTGATGATGAAAACAGTGATGCGATGATTTATTAAAACAAAAATACCCAATCACAAAGTCACAGAAATTGGGGTTCCACCCTTAATAGCTTTTAGGGAAAATGGGTGACTTTTCGAGTGGAATAAGAAGCTGTACTTCGATAAATAATATCGAAGTCTAATGGTTGGGAAAATTAATATAAACAAGCATAGAGTAAAAATAGAGTAATAATGCCAAAAACAATACACGAATAAATAAGCATTAATTCTCATACTTCATAAGAGACAAGATCGTCTTCATCGAGGTCAAGATTTATCTCAGACCTATCCTCTTCTGCCCCATCGCCAGCATCGAAGTGAGCTAATACTCCGACTTCCAAGGCAGAAATCTCGGTCACCGTCAAACCTTCCATAGTCTGACCAAGAAAACCTCGGCCACCGCCAGCTCCGCGGAACCCAACAGGCCTGGCTAGCTTAGAGGCCAGATAGACTTGAAAGAGCTGAAACTGGAGGGCATCTACACGTGAATGAAGTCCTATAAGTAGACGACGGATGTACTCTATCTTTGGATCTATGAAAAGATGAAAAGAGTTGGATGCGAAAAGTATAGGATACTTTGATAAATCTAATCATTTTATGAAACAAAAATGAAGAGTAGCATAATATAGATATGAAGTGTTTTAAATAAACAGAACATGCTACTTCTTTTTTTGATTAAGTAAAGAAAATATATTTATGAAAATTATCATTTTGAATGATGTAACTTAATTTGCTGTTTTGATTAATTGAACTCTTTTCCAGGCATGGAGCTACTCACAGATTATTCTGAATAAGTCTGATTAAATTTATGTGAATTCGCATAGCCATCGAGCCGATGGTAGAAAATAATGTAAAAACAACGACAGAATGAGGCAGCTAAGTTTTTTGTACACCATAGTTGCAATGTGATGCTAAGAATGGCAAGGCTCCATTGGCGATGCCAGCGAAACGTCTAGGAATGTAATAAGTCGTCACTCCGATTCTGGAAATCGTCATACATAATATGAACTCCGGAGAAGGTGCGTTACTCTAAGTCTTCTTGCCAATATGACAAAAATGTCAAGCAACTTATATGTAGGGTAGGGGAAACGCAATCATACTAAAGGCCACAACATCTTGGCTATCGTATTTTAGAGAACGAGATATGGTCCGTGATATCTGCCTGAAAAAATAAACTTCGTCCCTTGGCCTGTTTCAAAATAAGAAGCCAAATATTACACAAATTCATCTATCAGTTCTAAAACATACAAAGAAAAGCATTTATTGACTAGTAATATTAAAGGATAGTGAAAAGACAAGTTATTTTTAAAAGTGGGTTGACCTCGTTGTCCCAACTTGGTCTTGTGGTCAGGGAAACTATGTAGAATTCACCTAGTGCGAAGTCGTCTGTCATAGTAGTTGTCATGATTCCCGGCATCATCATTGAGTTTTGCCATTCGCCGCACCAAGCTACGAACTCGTCAGACAAGTAAAGCCAATGCCTCGACAAACGTTTTGGCGAAAACGGTTACACTATCACTCCTCTTTCTGTCCTGGCCTATCTATCTAATCTTTACCCTCTTATCCCATTGCTGCCTTATCACAACTTCTCACTTGTTTACATTTCACTCGTCAAAATGGGTGCCTTTTTGTGGCAAATATAGTGGCCCTATTACACTTGCCATTTACTCCGACCCTCTCTTTAGATCGGCTAATCCGACACGGGCCTACAATCCGGATCCCCTCATGGTCATGTAGATCTGTTCCTTTTATTTCTGGTTGACCGTTTTCATTCGGTTCCAGTCCCAGTGTGCATTTCACTCCAGGGGCTATTTCTCAAGGCCCTACACTGCTGCCTCACCAAGTAGTGTCTAGGCTCTGATTCCCATGCATGCAGATATCAGGCATTCCCTTGACGGATCGTCTCCTTGATTAAACCAATATTACCTGAACAAATTGTGGACGTCTATCTCTGGTTGCATGCGGCATCAAGTAGATTTCCAGCACACTTTGGCCATGACATCGAATTTCTGTGACAGTTCGCTTATCTGTCTGCCCAGCTCCCTGACTGCCAGGCCTCCGAAGTATGTGCCCTTTTGTGGCAATTCTAGTGTGGCCCCATCACCCCTCTCTTTCTATCGACTTGTCCGACTCAGCCCTCCAATACGGATCCATTCATTGTCTTGTGGATCCGTTCCTTATCTCTCTGGTTGACCGATTTCACTCGGTTTCAGTCCCTGTGCGCATTTCACTTCAGGCGCTATTTCTCAAGGCCTTAGAAGCTCGCACATTGCCGCCTCACTAAGCAGAGCGCCTAAGCCCTGATTGCCATGCTTGCAGATATCAGGCCTTCCCTTCACGGGTCATCTGCCTTGATTAAACCCATGTTATCTGAGCAAGCTGTGGGCGCCTACCTCTAGTCGCATGCGTCATCTTAAGTGGATTTCTAGTGTATTTTGGGCATAACGCCGAATTTCCTTTATGGTTTGCTTATCCGTCTGCCCAGCTTCCTAACTGCCAGTTGTACTGGTTTATTTAAAATGGCCATCACTCACTGGCAAACGTCTTCGCTTTATTGCCGAAAAAACCATTTTCCCCAGTTTCTTGATCGCGATCCCTTTTCCTCCCGTTAGTGATAGATTCTTGATCCAGGCGTCTCCTTTTCGCTGGTCTTGCTCCATTCTTGTTTTCCCCCAGTTTGCTTAGGCAGTAGGCAAAGTTATCGCTAATTTTACCTCCAATCTCCTGTTCATTAAATTGTTCTCCCCAAAGATGTCAACGGCCTCTATAATCTAGCGCTTCCTTGTGTTGTCCCCGTATGGAGCTCTTCTTTCTGTTGCCTTCCAATTAATTTCGTGGCGAGTCAGTTAGTTCTGATCTTTCGGTATCCATTTTCCTGCAGAGCCTCTGATATTCCTTGATTCGTGTTCTAATTTTTCTCCCTGTTTTGCTAATATATTTCTGTTTGCAGGCGTCGCATGATATACAGTTCACTCCTAAACAATACAATTTGTCTACTCTTTCATGTTGCGTTAATAGACTTGTGAAAAGTGTTGATTTCTTCTTCATGACCACCTGAATATTCCATTTGCTCAATATTGGCCATAGTTTTTGAGTTTATTCGCAGAAAGGTAGGCATATCCACTTTTGTAAATCCATCATCGGCCCTTCTGTTCTTTCATATTCCCCGTTCCATCATTGGCTTTTCACGACCCGTATGTTTCTTTGTATTACTTCGCTAGGGTAGCCATTGCCGAGGAATATCTCCGTCAATTTGTCCAGCTCCTCGTCCCAGAATTCTACATCCGGATAAGCCGATAGAAAGAGGGTCGGGGTAAATAGAAAGTGTGATGGGGCCACACTAGATTTGCCAAAAAAGGGCACAC